CTTCCAAAAGCACAAAAGAGTTTACAGATTGCACACACATTTCAGGCACAAGTACTTTCAGGTCATTCAGGTCACAGTACTTCATGCTGTATCTGTGTCACATTGGGGTGAAGTGACGATGCTGAGTCAAGAAAGTTGTATAAGATATCCTTTATTGCGGCACAACACGACCTTCCCTGACAGTGTCTTCTGGTTATCCTCCTGTCCCATGGTGTAAGCCCCCTTATAACCCCCTTGGTCCATCTGGTTGTTATCTACTAGCTAAATATAGAAGTCCAGGGGACCGACCCTAGCAACAAGGGATATCTGTGTCCCCAAAGACAATCTGTGTATCGGTACCCTGTGAACCGCCCCGCGACACCTGTATCTGTATAGTCGGTATAACCGCCTTTCGGCGTAACACACCAGCTGATGGTCATTGTCAGACTGAAGCTTGAGTTCTTGTACACGTGGCGTGATGTTGTGCTCGGTGCTCAGTGATGGTGGCCAGAGATGGCTGGGTACATGGCAGAAGTAGTTGGCCGGCAAGCTGGCTTTGTTGTTGCAGCATGTCGACGATCGGGGTCGGTTTGCAGCAGGTGGGTGAGGCAGGCGGTTGTAGGCGTGGTAGTGCAGCTTGAGCAGCGATCAGGCAGGTGGATTCATTGCCAGGCGATTCAGGAGGTATGATAACACGGGTTGCGAGAGGTCCGGCTGCTCCCAACCAAATGTAGGGATGCAAGAGAAGAGGCGATGGGAGAGACATTGTACTCTGTGGTGGCATGGATACTTCCTGTTTTCCGCTAGAATACATTGCTACAAAACTGATTTTCTCTGATCCGAATCAAAAGTAATCCACCTAGAGGAAGTAGTTCAAGACATTTGTGGCGGATCCGGATCAGACATTAAATTTTCCCTGTATGTAAATCTGCCTGCTTTGACATACATCAAGTACGTTACCTCGAGTACTATCTGATGTACAAGATGTGTAGAGGCGCCATTAATTTTTGGGGGGCAAGGGCAAAACTTGCGTTGCTTCCCAAAAACATCAATGCCACTGTACAAGTCTGTGAAGAAGGCTACTAATCTGCTTTTTTGTACTTAAGACTTTTGCGTGTGTGTGTAAATTGGGTCTACATTGATTTGTAAGTTGTTCAACAAACAGGTGACTTTCACAGCTCTCTCTGATATACAATGACAGTTCAATTTGTAAAGCTGTTATTAGTCATATTCTCATGTCTACCTAATATAGGTCAAAGCCAAAGTTCCAAATTATCAAAGGCCATGTTCATGTGAAGTCAGTGAAGGCGCTTTACATGTGGTTTCCCCCGAAGCTGGTTTCAAGTGGCTCCATCTGAACGCTCCAAATCACATTGAAAGCGCCTTGATCCCAAACCACTTCTAGAGGTGGTTTCGAATCGGTTTTCCCGCATCGCGATTTGCATCTGAACGCAATGTGATTTCAATGTGACTTCACATGGTCATGGATTACGCGGTGATATTTCTTTATTTATAAGCAATACCAAATTTTAAGTGGCAGCAACTTGAAGAGCAGTAATGGTCAAATAATGTGTCTGTTCTAGGACGAGCTTCACCGCCTCTGGCGGGACCACGTCGGCATTTGGCCGAGATGCGCTGGGAGTGGCACCAGCAAGCAGGTCGTTGACCTCTGACATTAACAACACGCCACCTTGCGTTGCATTGTTTTAATCAAACAACAATGAATGTAGTTTCAGAGAATTGTGATCGGGCACGGTTTGAAAGGAATGTATGGCACATGGACCAGATGTGAGGAATGCGAGTTACCCGAATCGCGGTTTGGGTGACTTCACATGAACAAGGCCTAAAAAGTGTTGTATGGCAGTCTTGTACCTATAAAGGACCATCTTTTGTCAATTTCATTCCATGCAGTTAGAAATCCAATAGGAATAAGTCATCTATGATAATATTGTTATGATGACAAATTACTTCATAATCATAATACAAAATTTTGCCCTCTCATGCCCCTATCACCTAGTGACTCTTCACTTCAAGATTTTGCATCATCTGTATAATTCATAAAAGTTGCTCTTTCTCTTATCTCCACTGTAATAGTCTGGCTGTGAGTCTTGCTATTGCTAACACCAGAAGCTGTTTCATGCTGGGTTAGCTGCTGCCTGTATTTACTTAAGGATTAGCTTGTAACAAGGTGTGACAGATTAATTTGTATCAGAGTGCTCTCAAGTGCCCTCAGTTAGCCCCCAGCTGACAGAAAACCCCAATGAACAGCCTGGGGGTTCCAATGCATTCAAGTCATCACGTTTTGCTAATAATTATACTAATCGTGCAAACTTTGCCATCACATTTTTAAACATTTTGTGCTGATCACACATGGTCATCTCTACTTACATGTCATGCATATTGAGAAGTGTTTTCCCATTCAGATGACTGAAGGTTCAATATTCCTTCTCTACCTTAAGACCACGTAGACACAAAGCACTTCGACAGAACTTCTCACACAAGGTTGTATCTGCATATATAAGCATGCAATGCATGCAATTCAGAGCTACTTTTTTAGTTGCGCTGCCACGTGCTAGCGATTGTACTCATCGATCAATCAATTAACAATTACTACATAAGGTTGCCACCCTGTATGTAGTTTTGTGCATATCGTGATGCAGCAGTATTTAAACCTGATAGAAAATCATAAAATTTGATTTAATCTGGTACTGTAACTGTGTACTGTACGATCTAGAAAACAAAGCTGTATACACCTCCATGGACGATCATGGACTAGTCTGGATGTCAGATCCATGGCACACTGGGCTCAAAATAATACATGTATCTCAGGCCTCGTTCATGATTGAAATGTGTTCCGGTTTGGCCACGATCCGATTCGAAACGGAATATATTTCTGCGTCCGTGATTTCAAAACGTACATCCACACTGGAAACGGTTTCACACCGCAGATTTCTGCGCAGAAATCTGCTTTTTTAAAGATTTCGTACAATACTGTCTTACAAAATGTATCAATATGGTGATAAGTGGTAGATATACTCTCCTACAAATGCTACAATCACATTACATGTATTTTGGGCACAACTTGTCGGAAATGCATTGACTTTTCCTGTATTCCTTGCAACGTTAGCATGTACATTTGTGTAGTCTTGTGTAGTACATTGTGTATATCGTCTTGTATTGCAACAGGATTTAAACCAGATATAAGATCACACACTTTGTTTTGATCGAGAACAAAGTTGGTTTACTGACTGCCCTGGGTGAATTTGACAGGTCACTAGAAGAGAAAGAGGTCTGAATGAACTCTTTTAGGCCTTATAGACTTGAACAGTATATAATCCTTATTAGTTTTGTGGCTTTAGCGAGAAGAAAGGAGAAGAAGACTTTGAGAAAGGTTATGCCTGGAATCTTCTATGGGTCGTGGGGAGAGGAAATAGAGAAGCCGGGTCATTGAAAGTGTAGATTTTCACGAACAGATGGTTCGGTGGTCCCCCACAAGAAAACGAACATAGCCAAACAGCATCACGGACCTGAGAAATAACCAGCAAATAAAGTCTACCACCTCAAAATGGAAGATTGTTCCACAGTAACTAGGCTACATAATTTTATTTGAAT